ATGCCCCTTTCTGTGCTGTTGGCATGTATGGGCAGCTTTGTTTTCAGGTCTATAGGACGGCGGGAGGGGGTCCTTGCACGGCGGGAGGGGGTCCTTGCACCTAACGTAACCCACGTCTTTCGTAGATGGGCCCCTAAATCCCTGAGGGCCCTTGTGCAATTGTCTGCACATGGTACATCCGTCGCCAGTGGCCTAAAAAATGCGCAGACTGATAAAAGAGCCGCGTCCTTTTCTCGTGTAAAGGTGCAAACGATGACAGGGTTTCGCTGGTGATTTCTGCATCGTCATTGGCTGACATGGCATTGGACACCCGCGGTATCCAATCACAGCACTGGTGTGGGAAAATTGTGCACCGCACGGCCCGTCTATGTGCTCGTCATTTGCCATAATTAAATGCTGTCTGGGCTCCAAACGTGAGATTACGCGGTTTAATCGGGGGCGTGCTGCGTCCATCTAACAGGTCATTATCCTCTATGAATGCATCATTGTGTGCAGAGAGTATATAGGAAGCCAGAGATAAACGCCATCATAAACCATTGAAGGGTCCAGTCTAGGACTCTGGGGTGGGGGGCCGTTGGATGGGGTGGCACACTAAAGTAGAATTCTGGCCACACACAACCAGATTTAAACCGGCTGTCAATCAAAATGACGGCTGAACAGAGCAACATGTCCATAGTTGATTGTATAGCCAGACTGTAACGTCTATGGTGACCTAAGGAGATTGTACAATCAGATTGCAGCGTGTGTGCATGATGAGCTGTAAGGAGATTGTACAGATTTCAAAGTCTATATCCATCATCCATCTTTAGCTGTAGCTTGCTGCACTTTTGCCTTCCTGATCTAACCCATATGAATGAGCGCCTGCCGAAATGAGTGACTTTGAAACATGTTCTTCCCTCCCGGTCACCTGTCACGGGTTATTCTGTGCACGGCATAGAGTCGGTGGAATCCGCAGCCCGTGTTATTGGTGCACATGTCGGCCGTGTAATTGGAGACGTGGGGAGGGGGGAGAAGACGACGGTCGTCTTGGGACGGGTAGGGCATGTCAAGGGCCCGGTATTGTGGCAGCAGCAGAAAAGAGCAATAAAATAAAAGAATGCAACTTTACGTGCTGCAGAGGTTCACCTTATAAAAAGCCTGATTGAGGCGGACACCGGTCATGTGACCTCAGGGTGATCCACATAAACGACAAGCACTCAGCCGAGTGTCCTCCATTCCCCCCCCCCCCCATTAATTTTAACCCTTTCACTACCAGAGCCGTTTTTGAGGTTTATTAGCACATTTAAGACCCCCCCCCAAATAATACATTTCCTGATAGCAGAAACTCTGGAGAATAAAATGGCGGCAGATACAATTTTTTATTGTCGCATCATATTAGCGCAACTGTTTATCAAACTGAAATGTTCAGGGAAAAAAAGTACAAATAAGTTAATTTTAGTGCACCATTAACGCAATATGATACCCCATTTTTTTGGTAGGATATAAAATATGAGGTTGTGATGAGTTAATAGACACCAAACATGTCAAGCTTTAAAATTGCGTGCACAGACATTAGGAGTCTATTAGACCTCCAATGTCACCCTTGCAGCCCATTGAAGCTCACAAGACCCCTATGTGATAGTATATTGGAGTTGACAGGTTCTCTTTAAGTAGACATTAAGGGTCTGTTAGACCTCTGTCACCCTTGCAGCCAATTGGAGCTTACAAGCCCCCTATGTGCATATGTGATTTTATATTGGAGGTGACAGGTTCTCTTTAAGGAGACATTGGGAGTCTGTTAGACCTCTGATGGCACCCTTGCAGCCCCTTGAAATTCAGAAGCCCCCTATGTGAAATTAACTTCAGCGATGGCAAGTTCTTTTTAAGGAGACATTAGGGGTCCATTAGACCTCTGTCACTGTTACAGCCCATTGAAGCTCACAAGCCCCTATGTGATAGCACTTTACTGATGACAGGTTCTCTTTAAATGGACATTAGGAGTCTATTAAACCTCTAGTGTCACCCTTGCAGCCCAATGAAGCTCACAAGCCCCCTATGTGATAGTATATTGGAGGTGACAGGTTCTCTTTAAGGAGATATTAGGGGTCTATTAGACCTCTAATGTCGCCATTGACGCTCACAAGCCCCTATGTGATAGTATATTGGAGGTGACGGGTTCTCTTTCAGGAGACATTAGAAGTCTGTTAGACCTCTAATGTCACCCTTGCAGCCCATTGAAGCTGATCAGCCACTGATCATGTTTGATAAGCTTCTTCCCCGGCTTCTCTGTGACCGCTCAAAGTGGAAGTGATGAAATCATCGTCACCTCCGGGTTCATCCAGCGGAGATGAGATCAAGCGACCCACGATGCTAGTCCCAGGCCTGTTGGAGCGGCAGCTGAGCCCAGGAAACGTGGCAGGGGGGGTGTCAGACGGATGGAGCATGTTTTGGGGCGCACCTTTCAGAGCCCATGGAACTGATTGGGCGACTTTACACCTATATAAATTAAATATATTAAACAGATACAAATGAATACATTGTACAGTATACAGGACGGAGCTGAGCATGTGATATATGTACATAATGAGCATGTATAAAAGTCTGTGAATGGAGTTCTGCTGTATGCTTGATGAGCAGGGACACGGTATATGCACCCGAGATGCGAGTATGTTACTGCTGTGTCACAGTGATGAAGTCAGTGCTGCGTGGCCGGGCAGCGGGAAGATAAGGTCACCGTGTTTTGTCCGAGAGGCAGGAAAGCTTCCTAGGGCGATGGTTGGGGGTGATAGCAGTGTGTGGAGTGAGGAGGGGCAGCTCTGCCATTAAAACGCTGGAAAATATGCGGGCGACCTTTGACCCCGTTCTTCAGGTGCGGAGGGTTTGTAAACTTTCTTGCCGCTGTGTCACATGGCTCCCTTTTGTCCCACTCTCCAGGTACATCTACAGACTCAGCAAGAGGTGAAGAAGAGAATGACGGGAATGGCAATCACTGTCATAAGGAACGACGGCTTTTTTGCGCTATACAACGGCCTGAGCGCGTCCCTCTTCAGACAGGTGAGCTTGGCGTGTTTAAAGGAGAACTCCGCTATGTTTAAAATTGATCATTTTAATGAAAGCCCAAATTGAACGTTCAGTTTACAATACATTCCAGATGCACTAACATATGTACGCAAAGTTTTTGTCTTTTAGAAAGCAGCCACAAAAGAGAAGAGAAGCCTGTCTCCTGCCAGCATGCTGCGGAATGAGCTCCTTGCTCTCTGTGTGGAAGCAGCGCCCTCTCTGACATGCCCCCTTTTTGGTCAGAGCTATCCTATCAGCAGGGAGCACCATTTCTTTTGCAGAGATCTAGCTCTGACCCAGCAGGGGACCTCTGCACAGAGACCGCTGCTTCCACACAGAGAACTAGGGTCCTCAATGCAAAATGCATTCAAAGTCTTGGCTTGTTTTCTTTAGGAAGCAGCCACAGCCTGGGTAGAAAAGCCTGCCAGCATGCTGCAGAGTGAGCTCCCTGCTTTCTGCGTGGAAGCATTGGTTTCTCTCTGCAGAGGTCCAACATGTCCGCCTTGCTGGGTCTGAGCTAGAGCTATGCTAAAAGCTTGCTCATCCTCCCTGGTTATTGGAGAGCTCCAACTCAGGCAGCAGGGGGTGTGTCAGAGCTCTTCAGAGAGGCTTCTGCTTCCACACAGGGGCTCACTCTGCACCATGCTGGCAGCCGACAGGCTTTTCTACCCAGATTGTGACTGCTTTTTAAAGAGAACAGACTGTAAGACTTTGCATTGATGCTCTTAGAATACACACTATATTGCCAAAAGTATTGGGACGCCGGTCTTTACACGCACATGAACTTTAATGGCATCCCAGTCTTAGTGAGTAGGGTTCAATATTGAGTTGGCTCCGCCCTTTGCTGCTATAACAGCATCAACTCTTCTAGGAAGGTGTCCACAAGGTTTAGGAGTGTGTCTATGGGAATGTTGGACCATTTGTGGGGTCAGGTACTGATGTCGGAGGAGAAGGCCGGGCTCGCAGTCTCCGCTCTAATTCATCCCAAAGTTGTCTGAAGTCTGACCTCCCTCGGGAGACCCAGCCCTAAATACACACAATAACACGCGTGCAGCTTCCTTCAGGTGATCTCCGGTTTCCATTGTCAGCCGGTATCCTTATAACCTTGACCGAAGGTGCTCTTTCTATTTATACTATAACAGACAAAGACATTTTAGACAATTGTTGGAAGACAACCAAGGTTGGAAGACAGTGGTGCCCATCCAACCTTGTGGTTGGTGAAGGCCCTTTTCTGCTCCACCACGACTGTGCCCCGTGAGCCAAATATATGGTTTGATGCATCTGGTGTGGAGGAACTGGAGTGGTCTTCAGAGCCCTGACCTTGACCCTACTGAAATTGAACCCCCAATTGTGAGCCAGGTCTTCTCATCCAACATCAGTACCTAACCTCGCCAATGTCCTTCTGGCTGAATGAGCACAAATTCCATTAGACACCCTCTGAAATCTCATGGAAAGTCTGGAGGATGTTCTAGCTGCACAGGAAGGGCCAACTCCACATTGACGTCCATGGTTTTGGAATGGGATGTCCTACCAGCTCATAGAAGTGTGATGGTCAGGTGTCCACTAACTCTTGTCCACATAGTATATGCGCCTGTTGCCCATAGCAACAACTGCCATTATTACCATGCAGCATTAAGACTGAATGGCATTTTACAAGGCTGTGATATGAATAAGGCAGGGATGGACACGTCCCGGGAGCCAGGTCGCCAATGCACCCTTAAATTGTACAGCTGGCGCCTAACTTTCAAGACTTTCTCTAATAGCTGTCAATGGAGTTGGCTCCTGGATTGGACAGACCGGTTCCTGAATTCCATATTCATTTGTCCACCCCTCGAAGAAGGGTCCCTTACGGCACCAACATGGCAGCCCCAGGGCTGCTATGGTAACGCTACACTTATCAGCCTGTCTGATCTGGAGGACCAAGTTGTGTTGCTTGGAAGCCTCACCCCCTTCCCCTGGGGGACCCTCCTATGTTTAGGGAGGGCAAATGTACATCTGGGCTAAATTGATGGTTGTCTACCAAGGGTGGTGGGGGGGGGGCAAGAGGTCTATTGTTACATGAGCCCCATTCTCATGTAACTTCACTTTGAGCGGCCGCTGCAAAGCCAGGCACAAATCACAGCTAGGCTTCAGATTCTTGCTGAGGGCTGATTGCTGTAGGTCGCCCATTTATGAGAAATAAAGATCTATAAGTCTGATTGAAAGAAAAAAAAAGAAGGAAAGTGGCAGTTTTATAACGGATATAGTATGATCATAATCTCGGGATGATTTGATGAGAATCTGTTTTTTTTAATCACTTGGCCCTTTTATTCCCGCAGATCACATACTCCATGACCCGCTTTGCCATCTACGAGACTGTGCGAGACCGCATGTCCCAGGACAACAAGGCCCCCCTCCCATTCTACCAGAAGGTGCTGCTGGGAGCATTCGGCGGTAAGAACGATGGAAGGAGCTCGTGTGACGTTCAGTTCTGAAATTTAATTTGCCAGAGTAGATCTTCTGTTAAAATAGAGAAGCCGAGGATACCATTTTATGGGTCACCATACACATTACAATACGACCATGCAATCTCGGTACAACTTTAGACCTACCTAATCTATTCAGTCAATTTGTATCCAATCAGACAGGTCCTCCTACGTGGTAGACCTAAAGGAGATTGTACAATTTGATTGGTGTGTGTGTGTGGTGAGCTAAATGGTGCCTGTATATAAACAGTCGTCAGTCACATACAGACAGAAGAGATTTTTTGGTTTGTTGGGACACATTTTTATTTTGCAGGGCTTAAATGTGAGGGGAAGGAGCAGTACAAGGAGCCAATCATTTAAGTGTGCTGAACGAAGCATGCTGATAGGAGAGAGCAGAGTGACAGAGAGATGAGCTTATTGCTGTGCTGCTTCACCTTTCACTGTCCAGTTACAGGCTGGCCTCTGTAGAAGTGGGTTTAGTGATGCTGCCCATCAGGCTGAGGACATCTAGTGGCAGAAAAAAGTACTGCTGGAGAGGTCGCTCGCTCGCTCTCTCTCGCGCTCTTTCTCTCTCGCGCTCTTTCTCTCTCGCGCTCTTTCTCTCTCGCGCTCTTTCTCTCTCGCGCTCTTTCTCTCTCGCGCTCTTTCTCTCTCGCGCTCTTTCTCTCTCGCGCTCTTTCTCTCTCGCGCTCTTTCTCTCTCGCGCTCTTTCTCTCTCGCGCTCTTTCTCTCTCGCGCTCTTTCTCTCTCGCGCTCTTTCTCTCTCGCGCTCTTTCTCTCTCGCGCTCTTTCTCTCTCGCGCTCTTTCTCTCTCGCGCTCTTTCTCTCTCGCGCTCTTTCTCTCTCGCGCTCTTTCTCTCTCGCGCTCTTTCTCTCTCGCGCTCTTTCTCTCTCGCGCTCTTTCTCTCTCGCGCTCTTTCTCTCTCGCGCTCTTTCTCTCTCGCGCTCTTTCTCTCTCGCGCTCTTTCTCTCTCGCGCTCTTTCTCTCTCGCGCTCTTTCTCTCTCGCGCTCTTTCTCTCTCGCGCTCTTTCTCTCTCGCGCTCTTTCTCTCTCGCGCTCTTTCTCTCTCGCGCTCTTTCTCTCTCGCGCTCTTTCTCTCTCGCGCTCTTTCTCTCTCGCGCTCTTTCTCTCTCGCGCTCTTTCTCTCTCGCGCTCTTTCTCTCTCGCGCTCTTTCTCTCTCGCGCTCTTTCTCTCTCGCGCTCTTTCTCTCTCGCGCTCTTTCTCTCTCGCGCTCTTTCTCTCTCGCGCTCTTTCTCTCTCGCGCTCTTTCTCTCTCGCGCTCTTTCTCTCTCGCGCTCTTTCTCTCTCGCGCTCTTTCTCTCTCGCGCTCTTTCTCTCTCGCGCTCTTTCTCTCTCGCGCTCTTTCTCTCTCGCGCTCTCTCCCCCCCCATACACATTTGGTAATTCTAAAGCTGGCCATGCACTATCCAATCTGATTGCACAATCTTCTTTAGATCTACCAAAACTATGTAGTATGAAGACCTGTCTAATCTATCCAATCAAAGAGGCCCTGGCTTGCACTACACAGTTGTTGGTATGTTGGTAGATCTAATGTAGATTGTAAGGTGTGTGGTGAGCTTGTGTGTGACTAGGTGTATCTTTCCTTTTGGGTGTAGTGGAAGGGCTAGAACCCCCGTCATGTTAGTTGTTGTCTGCGTCCTCTCACCATTTGTCCCGGAGACCGCTGTCGGGTCTTTTTAAATGCACCTAATGCAAGTACCTGAATCTGTCTTTCTATTGGAATTCTATCATCTCCAGTGTTCTGTATTGGAGGAGGAGGGGCAGCCCTGACAGCCAATCAGGCTCTGCCACCGTGCAACATTAGGAAGGAGAACAGAGGAAGGACCTCTTGAGTGTGTGCTGCTCCTTTACCATCCAGTCAGAAAGCTAGGGGTGTGTCCGTGACCTGGTTGTACTGTCTTATCAGGTGATCACAAAACTGGCTGAACAGGAGAGTAGCCTAGGCGGACCAATCACTGAAAAACCTGAATCCCATCGGCAATTGATGTCATTAACCCTTTGTTTCCCTGAGCCGGTAATACTGGGGAATGTGACACTGGTGTGAATACATGTTCATGTCAAGCGGCAAGCAAGTCACTTGTTATCTCCCAGCTGCTCTTTGAAATCTACAGCCAGCTTGAGGACGGAGATGATCTCCTGATGTATAGAACAAAGGATTAGAAACTTCGAATCCTCTACCACAGTTACCCTCCACCAGAGAGACTGAGATATACCAAGACGGATGACCCTCCTAGGATTACACTGGTGGCAATGACTGTTAGGAGCCAATAAAGCATTGCAAATGCGATCAGGTGCAATGCTCTGGCTCCTGCAGACTGTTCCTCCCAGACATGCCTGGACCTCGGTATGGACATGCAGTAACACGGTCGGGAGGAAGTGTCAATGGTTCCACACTTGGATTCCATTGAAACTACAAGCCTGCTGCGGTGGCTGATGGGATTTCCCATCAGTTTCTCCATTCACACGTCCTATCAAGCCACTGGAACAATCACGCAGCTAGTGAAGTCTGTAAAAGTTCAAGCTCCCGTTTGCGCACTTGTACCAGACATCTCTAAATGTGAGCGAGCAGCTTGTTTAACCGCTGCGCACCCAAGGCGTACATGCCCAAAAAACGCAGTGGGTTTCCATAGCACGCCCTGCCCCCCCTCCCTTTGCCTGTGCTCCCCATGCGGCATTTACTGGGGACAGCTGGGACTTGTAGTGATACAGCAGTGGTTGTAGCTTCTGCTGTCACTGAGCTCGGTGAACTCTGTGTAGAAGTTTGATTCGGAAATACAATGTAGTAGTGGGGGGGGGAGGGGGGGGTGAGCTGTTAATGAACAGACTATTATAACCCGAGTTCACCACACCCAGACTGGAGGTAAAGGGGCTTGAAGAAAGTTGAAGCTTGTTAAATTATAACTGAATCTGATGCTCTTTGGACTGCAAATGAAAGAAGTCTTGTGCTATTATGCTGAATGTCAGGTTGGATCCTCTGGGGAAAATGGAGAGGGGGGGGGTCTATGAGGGGTGCTGTCAGGTGTTTATTGCTGTCTTACTGCGAGTACGGAGCTAAACCTGTTTGCCAGCTATCCAGTGAGCTCTTCCTGATTAGATGACAACACTGCTGCTGCTGCATTTAAATCCCAAGCAGTGGTGACAGCCTGTCCAGTTCCCTGTTGGAATACAGAACACCTCCCCTTTCCTCGTCTTCATACCAAAGGTGTTCTGCAGTCCAGCAGGAGAGTGAGAAGTGGGCAGGTCTCACAACTAGACCAAACTTTGTGCGAACCTGAGCTACTCCAAATAAAGTGTCATGGGCACTTCTACTGAATCAGCTGCGGGCCGAGTATTTCCCACCCCGCAGCTGCATGTGAACAAAGGGGTGGGATTCTTGCACTAAAAGGGAGAATGTTTGCTCCTTTTCTTCTATTGGGCACTTTGATGCATGATGACCATTATTTCATTTATTGTCATCTCATTGTTGTCCTGGAACTATTGTCTGTCTTTTCTTTGTCTTCCTCTTCTTTGAGATCTATCTATAATTTTTTTTTTTATAATTTGTTTTTTTTTGGTTTTGCATATGTATATATTCCATGCAACTGAATGTCAGGATCACCTTCACTTGATCTGCAGGTTATGTAGCAAATCAGGGATGGCGGCGAGATTTCTTAATAGTTGTTAGTCACTTATTAGTATTGTGTGTAGACTAAAGATTCGGTGCTGATTGTGCCTGGAAGTCAAAGTCACAGCCCAGGAACCTTGTCCGGTCTTGCGTGTGTGTGTGTGTGTGTGTGTGTGTGAGTGAACGCCTATTGAAGTGACAGAATGAATTTGGTTTTACATTATTGTAGTCGGATTACTTAAAGGGGCGTATTTATAAAGCAGCCAATGTGACTTTCACAATACATTCACTGGTAGTGAATCAATCACTGTCATTTAAAACGCATGCACCAGGAAGATTCACTGAATGTTTGGCAAATGTCAGATTCACTGCTTTTATAAATATACCCCAAGGTGTATAAGGTGAACCCATATTCAGTTCTTAATAATTGCAATAAACGCACATCTTCCCGTGTTTTATCCTTTCAAAAATGATGCATTTACAGAAAATTACCTGTTAATCTTCCAGGAATCCAGTGTGCTCCTAGCTTCCTGTTTAGACTGACTACACATTACCTCTGCTACATTGAAACTCTAAGCAACGTTATCGGGCCTGCCTGCTGGACAACAGAACTCATACATTCATTTATTTCCCAACAAAACAGTGCTGCGGCCTACACAATGGTATAGGGCAAAGGCTCTTAGGAGATGCAGTTCTGGGGGCATGCCTATGTTAGTAGGTAAGGACCTTCTAAGCAGCATCAGAGGGAGTGTTAAACACTGTTTCTTGCTACAGGAACAAGATTAAAGGACAAAACTAAATCTTGATTCATGCTCTAGAGCCTTGGTTCTCAACTGGTGGGTCGTGACCCAAAAGTGGGTCGCGGCCCCATGTCCAGTGGGTCTCCACATGCCTTCCACTTTTCTAGGTGAGGGGATCCTCCCCCTAGAGAAGCACTGTCAGTTCTCGCACCTAGCAGCCATTCAAAAATATGATGCCCAGTGTCGACTTGAGGTGGGGCTATGGCCGCGAGGGAGCTCCATCCATACGTGCATTGCTTACAGCTCCTCACATTCTGGCCCCCGGCACCTCTACGGGCACCCACGGGAGCTTTACAAGCAATACACATATGGATGGAGCTCCATCACAGCACTGCAGCCCACACTAGACCCCAAGTTGAGAATCCACTCCAGTTTCCGTAATGGCAACCCAAATGCACCTCCCACGCACAGATTAATCGCCTGCACCGGAAAGAGCAGTATCGCAACATGGAATATTGCAGAGCAACTTGGGTCGCGACTTAATGACCGAGGACAAATGTGGGTCTTGAGGTAACACAGGTTGAGAACCATTGCTCTAGAGCAGCTGCATCTAAACTTCAGCCCTTCTGCTGTGATGAAATTACAACTCCTATCATGCAGTTTCCTCTCCAAGTCATGCCTGTGGCTGTCAGGGTCGTGCAATGCCTTGTGTAGTTCATGGGACTTGTAGTTCCACAACAGCTGGCATGCCAAAGTTTGGCTACCGCTGTTCCCCTAGAGGAAATAGTGGGGCAGGTTTGGGGTGAAAGGTGAGTAATGTAGGGATATGCACTTTAGGTCCCTGCCCCCACCATCATGTAGCGGGAATACGCGTTGCGGTGCCGTGTGCTCATGGGTGTTTGTTTACCATGTTTGATTTCAGTGGGTGCTGCATGCGCGCCAAATGTAGAAAAAAATAGCTCATATAGCAAAATCTGCCACATGCGTTCTGTGGGGGTTAATTCCCCCCCCACCCCCCCAGGGAATTTCCTCTGCTCTGCCTAGTGGCAGTAATGCTGTGCGAATGGCATTCGCCCAGTTGAAATCTGCTCCTAAAAGATGAATTACAATTGGCTGATATGGTTGGCACACAAAAAAACTGGAGTTTTAAGCACCCCTTACTCTATCCAAAAATTGAAGCAAAATGATTATACAGGCATTTAAATGCGTACTTGCAGAAGATCAGTTTTTTAAAAATAAACTACGTTTTTACATTCCCCCCCCCTTTACGGTTTCAACCTACAAAATGCACTGGGGTCTTTTTGTGATTATATTGGGGGGGAATTTATCAAAACTGGAGCAGACAAAATCTGGCGCAGCTGTGCATGGCAACCAATCAGCTTCTCTCTTTCATTTTCAAATCTGAATTGAACAAACTGAAGAGAGTCGCTGATTGGTTGCCATGGGCAACTGCTCCAGATTTTGTCTGCTCCAATATTGATAAATTCCCCCCATTGTATATAAGGCCAGGACACTGACCTAAGATCATAGTCTCCAGAAAATGTGCCATATTCAGCCGCGCTTTTGCTTCCCTACAAATGGCGAGCAACGCTTGTTCTCCGCATTGCGATTATTGGGCTGTTTGTGTATTGTTAGAGTGTAATAGCGAGCATCTCGGGCAGTGATTGGCGTTCATCATCGCTCATATACAGCTGCTTGTTGTCGGATAGGGGTGTAGTTGTGCCCCCTCATCCCACCCCATAGACACCCCCACCGCTGCTGTCGTCGTCATTACTAGTATTGACCTCGGGCCCAGTTTCCTGTCTGTGGAACTTGTCAGGCCTGTTTGTTGGAGGTCACGGTTGGTGGATTGGAAGCTGTGTCATCTCGTAGTGATTGGAGTGGATGGAGTCTCCTCAACTTGACATCCCAATCATTTTCTGTTTCAGGTTTTACAGGGGGCTTCGTAGGGACCCCGGGCGACATGTTGAATGTCAGGTAAGTGTTTTTATATCCTGTTTCCGTTCAGTGGCAGTTGTTGTTGTTGCCGCCACTGCTATTATTAATATTATTTTTATTGATGTTATTATTGTTGTTATTTTTTACTGATATTATTTGTATTATTATCATCACTGTAATTATTGTTGTTGATTATGATCATAATGTTTTTAATCAATGTTGTTATGTTATTATTTTTTTATATTTATTATGGATATTCTTATGTTTATTATTTTTGAATAGAATGAGGCATTTTTAAAATTTCTTTCAGCTTTTATATTTTTATCTCTGACCCCCATTCAGGCGATGATTATTTATTTATTATTTTTCCCCCCTCTCTTCCTGTCCCTGTGACACCAGGAAAAAAAGACAGAAAGCAGAGATGCCGATTAAAAACATAGTTCATTTTTAACCTCCACTAAAAATGGGTTTTTGTTTTTGCCTGTTGGAGAGAGTTGCCATGACTTCTTACCCTGACAGGAAGTCAGAATCTCCTCATTCGTAGCCTAAAAAAACCCGTGCAAACTATAATTCTTCAGTGCTCTATCCAAAGCAAAATAAAACATTTTGTTTGCAGTTGGGTTTTAGTACTGTAGTAATAAAAGTCGTGTTTCAGAAGCATCACGTCCTGTGGGCCTCCACACAGGGTGCTGGATACCATGGCAGCACTAGGGGGTTGCCATAGCAGCACTAGGGGATTAGCTTGTGAATAGTGAGCATAATCAGTCATTCACTTTCTCGGAATCTTGCTGTGACATCAAATCCTGAAGCTGGTTTAATTATTTTATTTTTAATTGGGCTTGCTATTTTTATTTTCTATTTTTGGCTGACACTCTGCTTTAGGGTCCATTGACAGTGTCTGGTGTGCGTTGGCTGACACAGTGCCGCTGTGCCAGTAGAACTAAATTCAATGTTACTTTTTACATTTTAATAAAGTTTTTTTTTTTAAAAAGCACATGTGCCAAGTTTGGCACGATCCCGGTACATCGATCGCACTGTGTGCTTTTTTTTTTTTTTTAGAACTTTATTGAAATGTGACGTGACATTTTATTCAGTTCTGCGGGGTGCAAGTTGGGTTTTCCGCGTCACATCCTGCTGTGCTTAAAATAAGTCAGGCATGTAACATGCCTTCTCACGGAAACATGGTGGTGTGAATGGTGCCCCTCCTAAGAGGAGGCAGATTGCCTTGTCATGCTTTGGGGCTACACTGGAAACAGCCAGCGCAGCCCCAATGCATGTCGTGTGAATGGGCCCTTAACCCTTTCGCTGCCAAGGACGTAGCTACAAAAGTGCTTCCAGCTGGCCAGCTCAGTACGTCGTACGGACCTGGCATTTACAGTTCTACTATAAGCTGATGGTCGCTTTAGCGACCATCAGCTTATAGTAGAACTGTTCAGCAGACTGTCCCCTTTTAAATTAATAGCTGTCATCAGCGGCTCACAAGCCGCTGATGACCGCTAATTTTAAAAATACTAGTGATGTGAAACTTCCGGCCCACCTGAGGCGCAAGTAAGTGACGCGTGTTAGTTTCACCTTCAGCCAGGTATGTCATCTTTCATGGTTGGATGGGGAAATGTTAGTATGTCGGTGGGCAGTGCGTGGCCAGTGCAGACACCCTCTGGCCCATCAATATCAATGGGGGAAAAAATCAGTTGGCAGACATGGGCTTTTGTTTTGCTCCCTTTTGGTCTGCTATATAGATTTATTAGATAGATAGAGATATATAGATAAACAATATATTGTTTGGAGGCAGTTAAGATTTCTCGATTTGTACAATGAACTTTGGATTTACCAAACCTATGTAATATGAGGACGTACCTAATCTATCCAATCAATCTGTATCGAGTCAGGCAGGTTCTTGCACTACATAGTTGTTGTACAGTCCGATTGTAACGTGTGTGGTGAAGCAGTTGCTGAATTGTGTATTTGATTGTCCTCTCCTCTGCCTTTCCTCCAGCTATGCTCACGTGTTGGACGGCATGTTCAGAGTCATTAAAGAAGGTAATTTTGGGGTGACTGTGTGACGTTGGTATGGCTGCCGTGCTGTGTGTGTGAAAGGAATTTAATGCTCTCATTGTTCTCATTTAGAGGGATTCCGGAAGCTTTTCTCGGGGGGCACCATGGCATCCAGCAGAGGGGCTCTCGTAACTGTGGGCCAGGTAAGTCCACGAGAAATGGTTTACAGCCTACTATAAGGGGGATGGCTCCCAGCATTTAAAGGAAGAGTCAGTCAGTGACGACATACACACTTTTTTCTAATGACAGGTTTTCTTTAAGGCTGAACTCCGGGATAAATGGATATTCTTCTTTCCATCTCTGTGTCCTTTTGTGTATTTCTTCCAGATCTGTGCAGTAATCCAGTGTAAGACTTGGAGCTTCCTGTAATAAAGACCTCTCACTGCTACTCTGTTTCCTTGTGCAGGGGGACTGATCTTGTCTCTGCCCCCTCCTGTAGTTTTCTGCAGGCAGTCTGTAGTGGGTGGAGCCTGTTGGGTCCCTTCCACAGCTCTGCTTTCTGCACAGGTTATGTACAGCACAGTGATAATGTCATCGCTACTTTTAGGTAATAGCTTGATTTCCAAAGGCAATATGGTGCCCACAATGGATTTATATCCTCTGTGGCTGTTGAGGAATATATTTTTTTATTATTGTTTCTAATCCCAGAGTTTTGTCCCGCTTTATTAACACACAGTCCATTAATGTCAAGTGGCTATTGTTAGTTCCTTCCCACCACAGAGGTGAAATTAATCTGAAAGGTGTGATGTGTTCTCTTGTGACATGTATGTAAATGCTGTGTTTTATCTCTTGCAGTTAGCGTGCTATGACCAGGCTAAGCAGCTTGTTCTGAACACCGGCGTCATGTCTGATAACATTTTCACCCACTTTCTTGCCAGTTCAATTGCAGTAAGTTGTCTTTTTTTTTTTTTTTTTAAATATCAGCTTTTATGTATGAAGCAGAACAGCGGTGTTTTGTGATAGAGCAAGTCTACCTCAGCAAATGGAAGTTGTCTCTGTTGCTGTGCCAGAATGTATTCCTGAACGTTCAGCTGCAGGTACTTCTTGCTGATGATTATTCATTCTCTCCCTTCTCATCTCCATCTCCATCCTCCTCATCTCCTTCTCTTTCTCCTGCCTTCTCATCTCCTTCTCCATCCTCCTCATCATCTCCATCCCTTTCCCCCTCCTTTTTCATCATCTTTGTCCCTTTCCCCCTCCTTTTTCATCATCTCTGTCCCTTTCCCCCTCCTTTTTAATCATCTCCGTCCCTTTCCCCCTCCTTTTTCATCATCTTCATCTCTCTCTCTCAGAATTTAATTTCTAAGCATCCAGCTGTCCAATAACTTATTGATCGTGAAGCGGTCTTTCAAGGGACTGTAAGAACTGAAGGAAAAAGAGTTACAATGTTGCTTTATATGATAATAATTTTTTATTGTTGAACAATGTCGTTTGCCGGCCAGGTGGGGGTACATTTTATATAATGTGCGGCGAAACCTTCCACAGCTTAACCCATCTGTGCTCTGCAGGGTGGATGCGCTACATTCCTTTGTCAGCCGCTGGATGTCATGAAGACTCGACTGATGAATTCCAAGGGGGAGTACAGGGTAGGTGTTGTATTGAGGACCATTCTCTGATGCTCTGCATATGACGGGTAACCTGTTCCTAACCTGTGCCACCTTTTGTCTCCTGTCTGCCAGGGAGTCGCCCACTGTGCTATGGAGACCGCACAACTGGGACCACTGGCCTTCTACAAGGTAACTATGAGAGGGGGAATGTTTTAAAAGGCTCCTGGACTGGCTTGTAGGGCCCATTACACGTATGCGCTTTACCATAAAGCAGTGTGTGTTTGCTTTGCTGTGTGTGCTTTGATTGTCAACCTGCACAGATGGAGTATTCAAACCCACCTGCATCTTAACAATACGCATGCATGCTCTGAGGCAAGTAAGGTTTTTGTTTGGCTTGTCGATGCACAACAATGAGCCAAAGAAAGTGCATCAACAAGTGCACAAGAAGCAGTTTCCTAAGTATGATTGAGCTTTTAGGCTGGGTTCACACCTAGGCGTATTGAATATGCGCGTTTGTCGCACGTTTTTACCTCGCTTCGCGGTAAAAAAAACGCGTGACAAACACGCGTTTCCCAGGGCTACATGGCTGTATCCCAATGGAAAAGCCTGACCAAAACGCCCCAAAGAAGTACATGTACTTCTTTGGGCGTAGGGCGGTTTCCCACGCGTTCATACTCGCGGAAAAACGCCCAGATGGGAACCATGCACACTGAAAATAATGGCATTTCCCTGTTTGAGCGTTTTTCCGCGAGTACGAACGCGCGGAAAAACGCCCAGGTGGGAACCGGGCCTTAGTCTAAGGTCTCGTTCACACCTAGGCGTATTGCATATGCGCGTCTGTCACCGCGGTTCGCGGTAACAAAGTTGCGCGACAAACGCGCGTTTCCGAAGGCTACTTGGCTGTATCTCAATGGAAACGCGCCACAAAACGGCCCAAAGTAGTACCTGTACCTTTTCAGGCGTGGGCCGTTTTGTAGCGCGTAAGGGACGGGCGGAAATACGCCAAGGTGGGAACCAGACCATTGAATACAATGGGATTTATATTTTTGAGCGTTTTGTAGAGCGTTCGTCGAGCGTAGAACGCGCTACCAAACGTTCAGGTGTGAACGAGGGCTAAGTTCACACCAGTTGCAGTTGTGATGCAGTCTGTTCAGTTTGACTGCTGCTGCCAAAATACATCACAATGCTTTCCTATGGGATTTCTGGTGCTCTATTCACACCAGTGCAGTCCGTTCCGATGCAGTCAGAAAAAATACTGCTTGTCCTATTTTAGCTGCATCGGATTGCAATGGAACGCATAAAAATGCATAAAATGCATGTAAACGCTCTGGAACACAACTGAAATCCCATTTTAAGAAACAAAATAAAAAAACGCATCAATCCCAGGAAATTTGCAGCAAAACGCATTGCATTGTAACTGCGCAGTTCTGGTGTGAACTAGCCTTTAGTCTTCTTTTTTTTTTCTTTTTCTGGAAGGATGGAAAATGCCATTTGGCAGAGACTGTTTTCCTTCGGCATATCTATTGTGTACGATTTGCTCTATCTGACCTCCTTATTCTTCCCTCTCAGGGTCTTGTTCCGGCCGGCATCAGGCTCGTCCCGCACACCGTCTTGACCTTCGTGTTTCTGGAGCAGCTGCGCAAGTACTTCGGGATCCGGGTCCCCGCTTAATACTGGCCGCAGGGGAAGGTGGTCGACGCCACCTTCTCCATCTTGAAATCACTACTGAGAAGAAAAGAACTTGAGGGCCGCCGGTGCCTCCATCAGCGCCGCTTTATGGCAGTGTGCAATTGACTTTGCCGAGGCGGATCCCGCAAGAGCAGATGGATTCACAATAGGACATTACAGGACGACATTTTTTTTTCTTCCAGCCACTCGGTTCTGAGTAGTCACGTGACCTCACAGGCAACGGTGCTGTCAAATCATGTTCTCTGATGTGTATCTGTTATGACGAGTGTGTCTTCAGTACTTCAAGTCCCCACACGGATCATGCTTGGATGTGTGGGCAGCTGGAGAGCCTCTTAACAAATCAGTGCTTCTAGGTGACCTCTTAAAGCGTCACTCTATCCTAAAAAAAAAGATTTTGTTTTAGGTGGACACAAGTAGGTGGAATGCTGCTGTCTTCCGATGTGTCACATGGTGGGAAATCCCCAACTAGATCTCTTCTAATAAAAGGCATAAAAACTGAGACCCCTCGGCTATAACAAACACAGCAGGTGGGTGTAGCTGGGAACTCGCATGCAGGGATCTCGCCAAAGGGGCGTCTGACCGATACAAGTATCCTGCGGGTGATTTAACTTGCTGCCTTCTCCTCCAATACTGACCCATTAATTGCCCTTTCGTGTCAAACAAAGTGATAGAAAATCTGTACCATGGACCTGGAAACCTCTGTTAACTGTAGTGTGTCTCCTCCAGACCTGCTGATCGGGCTCTGAGCATGTCTAGGGTGATTATTTTAATTGTAGTAACTGTCATTTTTTAAAACTTTTTGTTTTGTAATTAATTGGAATCATGAATTTTAATATAAATAGCACTTGTGATTGGGATTCGTTGGCATTATGGCAAACAAATCGTCTCAGCTGTAACAAAGCAAGCGTGTTGTATAGAAATCATGTACTTAGACTTGAACCCGGGGTGCATCTCCTTCACTGTAAACTAATAAATGAACTTTTGTCATGTGACCACTAGAGGGGGGGTGTGTGCAAGCTGTGAATTCAAAACTGGACTGTGTATATACACTATATTGCCAAAATCATTGGATTCAGGTGTTCCAATCATCTCCATGGCCACAGGTGTATAAAATCATGCACCTCGGCATGCAGAAGCTTCTACAAATGCTTCTTTGTTAAAGAATGGGTCGCGTTCAGGCGTGGTACCGTGATAGGTTGTCACCTGTGCAATAAGTCCATCTTTGAAATTTCCTTGCTGCTAAATATTCCGTGGTCATCTGTTAGCGGTATTCGAACAAAGTGGAAGCAACTGGGAACAACAGCAACTCAGCCAGGAAGTGGTAGGCCACGCAAAATGACAGAGCGAGGTCAGCGCATGGTGATGGGGGAGTTTGGGGGGGAGGAACTTGACTGGCCTGCACAGAGTCCTGACCTCAACCCCATAGAACACCTTTGGGATGAATTAGAGTGGAGACTGCGAGCCCGGCCTTCTCCCCCAACATCAGTACCTGACCTCACAAATGGTCCAACATTCCCATAGACACACTCCTAAACCTTGTGGCTGCTTTCCCGGTAGAGTTGAAGCTGTTATAGCTGCAAAGGGCGGAGCCAACCCAATACTGAACCCTACGTACTAAGACTGGGATGCCATTAAAGTTCATGTGTGTGTAAAGACCGGTGTCCCAATATCTCTATACCGAGTGCTCCTGTCCATTCATAAATCGAGGAGATAGTAACTTTTACTATGCCCATAGTCATAAATGAACAGGAAGTGATGTAGAGCACTTCCTGTTTATTCATAACTGGGGACACAGTAAGTTTTTACTATGTCCTCAGTACTGATCGCTAAGTGTTTGTACTCCGCTCTCTGTCCTGACTGCTCCGCCTGTCATAGGAGGCCGAGTTCTCCTGCACTGCCCTGCTCAGCCTCCTGACAGCTTCTCTACTCCCTGCTGGGTGCCAGTAGCTGGATTGGCTCTATGTTCCCTCCAATCTGCCGACACAGGCAGAGGAGAGCAGGTGCGATCGTAGGGAATACAGACCAGCGCCCAGCGGGGAGGAGAGAAACTAGGGATGCACCGCATTTTCGGCCACATTTTCATCCATTTTGGTTTAGCCCATACAATTTACGGACGAAAGTTCAGCGCATCATATACGCGGGTGTGTGTACACCTATCACTATCCCTTACAGGTTTCCTCCCGACCCTCATCCTATGACTACACACATGCACATTTTTGTGTATTTTATACTTCCCTGGAGTTCAGCTTCAAGGTGGCTCTGTGTGCTTATTGGGCCGTGAAGGAAAATGGGCATCAGGCGGTGTCTTCATGTGGGGTCACATACCATGCACAGCTCTCCAAGAGTCCTATAATCTGGAGGACTCCCACCCCAACCCTCCCAATCCCCCTCAGAATATCATTTTCATTGGCCCATAAGGATATTCTGAAGCTAAGCTGAACGTCTAAGTGTTCCTCCTGTCAGACTGATTGAAACGTCAGCTTTCAGAGGAACATGAGATTGCATATGAAGAGGGTAGAGTAATCTTTGTGCTGCCCAATTCAATTGAAAAGAGGAAAGGTTTGACATGAGCCAACACTTTATTATGAGGATGATCCACCTCCAGGTTATGTTCTAGTTGCAGGTGGCGTCGTGTGAGCTGAGTCACCCACTGGCATACAGTCCTTCCTGGGGAGAACAATGGGGACCGCTCCCTGTCAGAACCACTAGACCTGTACCTGGCTTTCTTGCGTTTTGGGTGTTTCCACACACTGGAGGGTGTTCCCAGTTCTCCCACTGCTTTCCTCATAATAAGATAAATGGTAAATCCAGCAGCGATGGTGGGAGCCCCTCATAATGGGCACAGTAGGTTATAGACCCGGGAACTCAGCACAGGGATGTTGGGAGCCCCTCATAATGGGCACAGTAGGTTATAGGCCCGGGAACTCAGCACAGGGATGGTGCGGCCCCTCATATTGCGCACAGCATATGTTTAGACAGGGAACTCGGCACAGGAATGGTGGGAGCCCCTCATAATGGGCTCAGCAGGTGTGCAGACCCAGGAACTCAGCACAGGGATGGTGGGAGCCTCTCATAATGGGCACAGCAGGTGTGCAGACCCGGGAACTCAGCACAGGGAAGGTGGGAACTCCTCATAATCGGTACTGCAGGTGTACAAAACCGGCAACTCAGCACAGGGATGGTGGGAGCCCCTCAAAATGGGCACAGCAGGTGCACAGACCCAGGAACTTGGCAAGGGGACGATGGGAACCCCTCACGATGGGTACAGCAGGTGTACAGCCCCAGGAACGCAGCACAGGGATGGTGGGAACCCCTCATAATGGGCACAGCAGGTGTACAGACCCAGGAACTCAGCGCAGGAATCTCACCTGTAGAGTTCCCAAGACACAGACAAAACTATATGTAGCTCTGTCATTTTTGGTTGGATCCTAGGGGCTCATTCACACCAGATTGTTGTCGCAACACAGTGAAAAATATGAGTGTTACCGCCACGCGTGATTGCCCACTATCCATGTGTTAGTGTCTTCATGTTGATTGGCACACCAATGAACTTTCAGAATCGACTATAAGGCACGCTGTGCACTGCACTGAAAATAATGCAACAAGACCTAAATCTTCTTGGATCGAGATGGTTCCAGTCCATTCATTTAGAACAGACTGGCATGTAAATCCAGAGAAACAGGTCCGTGAGCCCCAATGCTGCCAGTGGGGGGCGCTGTGTGTTCACTTGTAACTCATATTTTCCGCTTTACTGCACAGTTCCACAAAGTAACAAAGAATGCAATTATTGGTTTGCCTTCAGATTATATACAATGCATCGGTCAGTGTTCTGAGTGAGGTACAAACATGAACGATGGGAGGGGCTATGCCAATCGCGGAATATCCCAGGAGGAAAACAATAGGAATAAAACATCAATTACTGATACAGCAGAGAAGGCTGAGCTACAGGATTCCACTACTGCATGGCAACCTTGGCACTCCAACTGTGCAAACTACAACTTCCGTCATGCCTTTGCCTCTGGGACTTATGCCTTTGGCTGTCAGAGTCTTGCAGTGGGTCATGGGACTTGTAGTTCCACAACAGCCGGAGTGCCAAGGTTGGCTACAACAGCAATAAAGCATTGCAAACGCGATCAGTGTATTGTGGGTGCAACGCTCTGGCTCCTGCAGACTCTTCTTCCCGTCCATGTCTGTAAATCAGTGCGGACATTCAAAAACATGGACGGGAGGAAGTGTGGTGACATGCAGGGGCGTCCTGAGGCCAGGTGTCACCCGGTCCGCTGTGACGTCACCTCGCGCATGGGCGATGATGTCATGCGCAGCCATCTGATTGACGCCTGCCGGCGACCATCTTGGCAATGGACGTAAGCAGAGAGAGGAGGGGACGTTCACCCGGTGGGATGAGGTATGCCGCCGGGTCCCCTCCTCTCTCCTGACACGGTCGGGCTCTCGGTCCATGACGGAGTGCGTGACTTTTTAGAGGGGGTGACACCAAAATGACTGTCAGTCATTCTGGCCAGAACGCACTGCCTCGCATTGCGGCCGGCTCACTTTTTTGTTGGCCAGTAGGGGGCGTGGCGGGCCATTGAAGTGAATGGCACTGTAGCCACGCCCTCCGGCCGCAATGCGATCGGCCGCACGGGATTGCAAGGTACATTATGCCTGCGGTCTGGTCAGATTAAAATACTGCAAGCACTATTTTGATCGCACCGGACCGGACCTCGGGCATAATGTACCTTGCAATCCCATGCGGCCAGAGGGCGTGGCTACAGTGCCATTCACTTCAATGGCCCATCACGCCCCCTTCTGCCCCACAAAAAAGTGAGCCGGCCGCAATGCAAGGCAGCGTGTTCTGGCTACAATTGCGCCGGAACGCACTGCATCTTGTGTGAACGTGGCCTAAAATAGAACTCCAGCCTAAACCTTGTATTACACGTTTGATTCCAGAGGGAAAAAGGTCAGAGCCTGTGTCGGATTTCCATTACTGGAGATTTCCCCTTACTTCCTGTCCCGGTGACCCCTCTCAATAAAACAGGAAATGAGAAGAATATCCACCGTTGAGGCCTCTTGCAACTCCTGTACAATAGGACTGGAGTGTGAATAAGAATCAGCACAAGGAGTCAATTAGTTCATGTTCTGACAATGAGCATGTTGATAGGAGGAGAGAGCAGACTGACAGAGAGATGAGCTCATCACTATACTGCTTGTCCTTTCACTGTCCAATCACAGGCTGGGGGTGGGTCCAGGAGGGCCTAGGAAAGGAGGAAGTGGGTTGAATGATGGTGGCCATCAGACTTCCCTCATCTGCGTAAGTGTTCCCTCATCTGCGTATGTGTTCCCTCATCTGGGTATGTGTTCCCTCATCTGGGTGTGGGTTCCCTCATCTGGGTATGTGTTCCCTCATCTGGGTATGTGTTCCCTCATCTGCGTATGTGTTCCCTCATCTGCGTATGTGTTCCCTCATCTGCGTATGTGTTCCCTCATCTGCGTATGTGTTCCCTCATCTGCGTATGTGTTCCCTCATTTGCGTATGTGTTCCCTCGTCTGCGTATATTGCCCACCCCTGGTGTAGCATCAGCATATCTTGCAGTGTCTATAGAGAACATTGGATCCGGCCACATGAGTCTGAAATGTCCACAACTCCACCATACACAGCAAGGTCGGAATCTGATCCACCTACCAAAACACCTGATAGGAACTGATCCGGGGGGGCCCCATTAATACGGAATTCAGGAGCCACTTTGTCTAATCCAGGAGCCAAGAAGAGAGCTGAGGTTGCCTACGCCTGACACAGAAGAACAATTGGAAGACAAAGACAGGGACAGTGCGTTGTCACCCGATGGTGGCTGAACGAGGACCTTCTCAGCAGGACCACCGTTAACATGCGTTCAAATAAATGGGCTGCTGAACGCACCACAACGGACCAAACATTGCACATGCAGCATTTCTGTGCAGCTCACTGCAACGTAAGTCAGTGCAATGCCCTGCGCAAGGTGCGTCGGAATGCCATTCACGTTTTACATCTACTTCAAATTTCTATTTACTATTTTTTGGGATGGCGGCGGCCTGGAACCATCGTCTGAGCGCGGTCTTGAGTACGCTGGCACAGACAGATGGGAAAAGGACAGTGCCAGCCTAAATATTTACCTCTGCTTACATTAACAAACAATGACCCTTCGGTCGGATCTGACAGCAACGGATATCTTGGGAACGGACATTTTATCATCGGAGATATCTGTCCCGCGCGCCCGAGGACCATGTGACCGTTACTCCAAACAACACTGTGTGCCAGCGCTGCGTCCACCATCCAGGATGAAACCAGTACAGGGAAATCGCTTATATATAATGGGGGGGAAATTTATCAAAACTGGAGGAGACAGATCAATATATGCTCCTCTACACATCCCCCCCCGTCCCCCCATGAAAACAAATTTCTTATCAATGTTGTAATCTGTCTCGGAAATCAAAATCCAAAAATCATCCAATTGGCAGGAAGGGTCCTCGGCGTTCATACTTGGCTTTGTAGTTTTCTGGCTAATGGCCAAATTTCTGATTATTTGTATCTACAAACGTCTGATTTATCTGCCGTTGTCCTGAGCGCGGTCTAGTGGTTGGCAAAGCTTTTGAGGATTGTGGAATGGATGTGACTCAGAGCTCCACCCGGTTGTTCAGAGATATGTGATAGGGGGGGGGGGGGGGGGCTTAAAGGGTCAGTCCACCCCACGGGGAGGTTTTAACTAAAGGTGGAGTTTGGTGGGAAGAGTCCCTGGATTCTTAGAGGATGAGGATACTTCAATGGTGAGATATCCCTGTTGCCTATCAGGGGTAGGCAAACTCAGCATGCCTGCTGTTGTGGAACTGCATGTCCCATGAGGCAGTGCAAGACCGGCGGCTACAGGCATGACTCCAAGAGGCATGGAAAAGCAAAGGAAGGCAACCTTGGCAGTCTACAAATCCTGCCTCTGGGAGTCATGCCTGTGGCTGTCAGTCTTGCAATGCCTCATGGGACTTGTAGTTCCACAACAGCCGGAGTGCCGTGGTTGCCTCTACCGGCTTCTACCTCTGGGAGTCATGCCTGTGGCTGTCAGTCTTGCAATGCCTCATGGGACTTGTAGTTCCACAACAACTGGGTAGCCGAGATTGCCTACCCCTGGCTTAACCTTTATGAAGATAACCTTTATGAGCTGCCTGGCTGTTATACAGATCCACTGACTTCAGTGTTTTCTGACAGCAAGTATACAATTCAAAATAGTCAGCCTGTAAAGCAAGTGTGGGCAACCTCGGTACTCCAGCTGTTGTGGAACTACAAGTCCCAAGAGGCATTGCAAGAGTGGCAGCCACAGGCATGACTCCCAGAGGCAGAAGCATGAAGGGATTTGTAGTTACACCACAGCTGGAGTGCCGAGGTTGCCTAACCCCTGTTGTATATCATAGAATCTGGTGGACAACCACAGGTGCCCTGAAAACAAGATGCTGCCTTCACTATGCCAATGTGGGAGAGAAGTTTCCCAGCTTTGGAAAATAATTCCATGGCGGAGAGCTGTTGCAGGCAGCCCATGTTCTTCCCCTGTGGGAATGTCTGTGTGGCGGTGCAGTGCGGTGTTATACGGAATGCTCTGATGTAGCTGAATTCCAGCACACAGGAAGCACAAATCAAAGTCATCGCTTCCTCCTCTCGCTGCTGGCTTCCAGCAAGGCTGAGATTACAAAGTAGTGGAAGCGACGCAAGAGAGTATAATGACGGCATATGACTAGGGTTGCCACCTGTCCAGGATTCACCCGGACAGTCAGAGTTTTGAATGCTGTGTCCGGGTTTCATGGCAGCTGAGACCTGGACACATGATATCAGACAGACAGGGGCAACCAAAATTAAGATAGGGGCTATCGGCCCCCCAGTAAAAATAGTCTCAACTTTCATATTTACACATGAATGGGTGACGTTATTTACATACGAATAAGCCACGACTCATTCTCCCCAAAAAATTTCCGTGCGTCGCTAGAGTGTTCGGGTTTCGCTGGAAGAAAAGGTGGCAACCCTACATATGACATGAGAGTGGCATTAAGGGGCTGATTTATACCGTGTTCGCCCAGCGTGTAGCTAAGCGAATGACGTGCAGCAAGTTACTGCCACTAGATGGCGCTGAGGAGCATTGGGATTTCCTATGCTCCATGGCCCCTATTTACCTCCTACAACTGCGAGATCTCGGCACAGCAGAGATAATCAGACGTAACCCTTGTATGGTAACGCAGTGCATGCAGGTCTGTTGCTTTAGTGCGTTGGGGTGCCATTCAAAATAAATAGCACCACAACGCATGTTACATGTGTTACTGTGCATTGCATGTGCAAGAAGAACTTTGGGGAAATCACAAACTTACCCTTGCAGTGGGGTTACCTCTGCATTGCAAGGGTTAAGTGCTCATTTTGTCTAGGGGGCTCAAATAAAGCAGATATACTCACCTGATCCTGTGTTGCGGTCAGCACTCTTATCTCACCCCCTCCGCTCCAGGTACAGAATGTCCCCTGGCGTCCTCACGTCTAATGCTGGTCAATGGACCTGCATAAGACATGATGACATCAGCGGTCCTTAGACCTAGGGTTGCCACCTGTCCAGAATTCACCCGGACAGTCCGGTTTTTGAGTCTTCTGTAGAGGTGGCAAGCCAGGTGCCACCCGTACACAAGAAACTAAGTGCCGATACTGGCACTATACATTTTTTGAGAGATACGGCTGCCAAGGTCCCCAGCAAGCGTGGGACCTCCAGGCAGCCACATCTGCCTGAAGCGGCATTCTACTGTAAGCCATGGGCAGCTGTAAACAGGTACACTCATCTCCTCCTCCGTCTTCCTGACACCATGCTGCACGCCTGCGGACCCCTGGTGAGACACCGCACAGCCCACACAGCACTCTTGAAAGCCTGCGTAGCCCACCTGAGACCCCACACAACCACCTGAGAATCCGCAATGCCAAACTGTGAGTCCCCAAAGCCCACCTGAGAGTGCACGCAGCCCACCTGAGAGCCCGTGGAGTCCACCTGAGAGCCCGTGGAGTCCACCTGAGAGCCCGTGGAGTCCACCTGAGAGCCCGTGGAGTCCACCTGAGAGCCCGTGGAGTCCACCTGAGAGCCTGCACAGGCCAACTGAGACCCGGAGACATCAGGGCGCCACCCTGGAACAACACAGAGTATGTAGCTTCATATTTTTGGGTATTGCTGTATAATGTATTGTTGGCATTTGTAGTCCTCTATAGACGGTCTCCTTACTCCCTCCCTTAGCTGCCTCTCCTCGCTCTCTCCTCTATATTCTCTACAAAAAAATAAGTTGCCGCTTGAAGAAAATGTGGCAACCCTACTTAGACCACTGGAGCCCGGGGGAGAAGAGGCTGCGGGGACTGGACCAAAAATCACTATATCTGCTTTATTTGAGCCACCTAGAACAAATGAGCTCTTAACCCTTGCAATGCGGGTATAGCCCCACTGCAAGGGTAAGGTTTTGATTTTCCCGGAATTCTGCTTTAAAGACTTTGTTTCTGTGTATAATTTTTATATGTACACGAAGTAAGCCATATTTGTATATTACATATGCAGGGTCTGCTTCCTGCTATGCAGTGCGACACCGTGGCCTTGCTTTAAGGCTTCTTCTACGCTATCGGTCAGCTGACTCAATGAAAACCATTCCCCCCTGGTGTGGCTGGAATGTTAACTCAAGACACGTTATTGAGAAAGGACAATTGCATTGTGCAGCTGAGAGCGCCCTCCGGTGGCTAATCTACAAATCTCTTTTAACGTCTATCCTGCGGAGAGCACTGTCTTGGTCTTCTCATGCACTGAATGCCTAGGTCAGGGGTAGGGTTGCCACCTTTTCTTCAAGCAAAATCCGAACACTCTTGCGACGCACGGACATTTTTTTGGGAGAATGAGCCGCGGCTTATTCATATGTAAAAAGCGCCGCCCATTCATATGTCAATATCACAGTTGAGACCATTTTTGCCCCTGTCTGCTGCCATGAAACCCAGACACAGCATTCAAAACCTGGACTGTCCGGGTGAATCCTGGACATGTGGCAACCCTAGTCAGGGGCAGGGCCGGATTTCCCACAACTGAGGCCTGCTCTTGGGGCAGCAGGAGTGTGGAATTCCTATCTCCCGACGCCCGGGACACGCAGTTCTGGGCGCCGGGTGGGTAGTTCTTTTCTTCATTTGGGCAAGCAGGGCTAAATGTAGAGCAGGGGAAGCAGACATCACTTTTATGCAGCCTGCATACAGGGGGGGGGCCCATTGTGCAACCTGGCATTGGGGCAGCAGAGAGAGTAAATCCGGCCCTGGTCAGGGGTAGGCAATTTCGGCACTGCATCTGTGGGGAACTACAAATCCCATGATGTCTTTGGGAGTCATGCCTGCTCCTGTCAGTTTTGCAATGCCTCATGGGACTTGTAGTTTCGTCTTTGCTCTGTGTGGTTGGTCCTCTTCTAAAGGGATGCAGATGCTGCAGCTTCTAGTATGAGCAATGGCGGGCACCCTACATGGTGTATCAAAAGGAACAGGATAGGCGAGCAAAATAAATTCCAGCTGAACACCAAACTCAGACCTCCGAAGTCAGCAGGTTTGCTGTAGACAGTAAAGGGTGCGAAGAGGTTAAAAGTAAAAAAAAAAAAGTGAGGTATCCCTTTAACCGGGAAACCTATGGAGTTGGCACAGCACATGGCCGCATTGTCTCCCATTCACGCACAGTGCGCGGCTCTCATTGTGCCTTATAATGGACATTTGTCCCTATGGAAATTTTGCCGGGAGAGCGGCAGCTCGGCGTGTTTACACAAGCAGAACAACAAATGAATCAGCGGTTGCCTGGACATACCCGCTCACCCCGCTGCTCATCCACGGCCCTCCTACACTGGCCCGGCCAAGTTTGCTGTTTTAGCAGATCAGGGAACAGATCGGTGCCTGCCGGGGTGTGTGCAACCTGACAAAACTTCCTCCACGGCTCTTAAAATGAGAAGCGCCAAATCCAACTGTCACTTTACATGAGCTAAATACATTCAGGTGCATTCAAATAAAAATGCTCTATGCCGACCACTGATCCACACAGCGAGCAAGGATCCTACTGTGCAGAGAGACCGCTGCTTCCACCCACGAGCAAGGATCCTACTGTGCAGAGAGACCGCTGCTTCCACACAGAGAGCAAGGATCCTACTCTGCAGAGAGACTTCTGCTTCCACACAAGGTGCAAGGGTCCTACTCTGCAGAGAGACTGCTGCTTCCACACAGAGAGCAAAGATCCTGCTCTGCAGAGAGACTGCAGCTTCCACACAGGGAGCAAAGATCCTAAAATGCAGAGAGACTTCTGCTTCCTCACAAGGTGCAGGGGTCCTACTCTGCAGAGAGACCACTGCTTCCACACAGAGAGCAAAGATCCTAAACTGCAGAGAGACTGATGCTTCCACACAAGGGGCAAAGATCCTACTCTGCAGAGAGACTGCTGCTTCCATACAGGGAGCAAAAATCCTAATGTGCAGAGAGACCTCTGTTTTCACACAAGGAGCAAGGGTCCTACTCTGCAGAGAGACTGCTGCTTCTACACAGACAGAAATGGTCCTACTCTACAGAGAGACTGCTGCTTCAACACATGGAGCAAAGATCCTGCTATGCAGAGAGACTGCTGCTCCCACACAGGCAGCAAGGGTCCTACTCTGCAGAGAGACTGCTGCTTCAACACATGGAGCAAAGATCCTGCTATGCAGAGAGACTGCTGCTCCCACACAGGCAGCAAGGTTCCTACTCTGCAGAGAGACTGCTGCTTCCACACAGAGAGCAAAAATCCTAGTGTGCAGAGAGACCTCTGCTTTCACAGAAGGAGCAAGGGTCCTACTCTGCAGAGAGACCGCTTCTTTCGCACAAGGAGCAAGGATCCCAAACTGCAGAGAGACTGCTGCTCCCACACAGAGAGCAAAGATCCTACTCTGCAAAGAGACCTCTGCTTTCACACAAGGAGCAAGGATCCTACTCTACAGAGAGACTGCTGCTTCTACACAGAGAGAAAGGGTCCTACTCTACAGAGAGACTGCTGCTTCTACACAGGGAGCCAAGATCCTACTGTGCAGATAGACTGCTGCTACCACACAGGGAGCAAGGGTCCTACTCTACAGAGAGACCGCTTCTTCCGCACAAGGAGCAAGGATCTTACTCTACAGAGAGACTGCTGCTCCCACACAGAGAGCAAGGATCCTATTCTGCAGAGAGACCACTGCTTACTCACATTGTTAAGAGCAACACGCCCCCTGTGAATGAGGCCATATAGTTCATTTGTTTTAGAAAGCAGCCGCAGCCCGAGTAGAGAAGCCTATCTCCAGGCAGCATGCTGCAGAGAAGGACCATTGCTCTCTGTGTGGAAGCAGCGGTCTCTCTGCAGAGGTACGCAACACCCCCTGCCAGGTCAGAACTAGAGCTCTAAAATAACATGAGAGCACGGGCTCCCCTATATGATGGGCAACTGAACAGATATCCCACTTTGCAGATCATCCCTAATCTCTGGTGACAACCCTTCCCTTTCTGTGGGC